TAATCCTCCTCGGTAGACCATGATCAAGCATCCGGACCATGTGCCTAAATCAACGCAACTTATTCAGTTTTATATGTTGATCTAAGGAACCTGCCTCATAATCACCGCCGGACAATCACCAACACATGCTATCGTTGCAGACACGCTGATATCATGTAACACCAGTAAAGTTTCGCAGGCAGCGAGGATGGAAGACGTGAATGCGCTTCAGGTCCTTAGACTAAAGGGGTGAAGTCTGCCACCCAAACATTAGGATGACTTTGCATGTAACCTTGTAAGCGAGGCCTGTAGGTTGAGGGAAACTCCTTTCCGACACTACAAAGTATTCAGCTTCCAGTAGGTAGTTCTAGCATTTGCAGCGCGTGAATTGACCTCAGTGATTACGCTTCCTTGGTGGCTGATGCAGCTTACAATACCTATATGCATAAAAAATGAATAGCTTCCTCGATTTTCACCATAAAAATCAATGAATTATCGGGTGACTAGTGATACTGCAAGAGCATGATGCAATTTAAGGGCGCGAAAATATGCTAAATGACGTAATCACGGTAAACATGTTATTCTCCGTCGACGGGGCTGCCTTATCCTTGTTAAACAGTATGACGTTATACTCCACATAATCTAGATAAACTAGCTTTTCATAACGCGGAATCCTAGCTGCTTCTTGAAAACAATAAAGGAGCACTCCATGAGGAAGTCCACAACGAAGTTGAACAAAAGTTGGAAAATTAGGCAACAACAACGAACACCACTTGTTGTCGAAGAATATCTGACAAGTCAACCTAGACCCTGTAATGTTCAAGTACAGGGTACGTAAAATAATCACCTATTTCATAGAACGCCTTTCTATGCAAATATTTTGAAATTACTGGGTTGATCGAATGAGTAGTATGCACACTTAATTCAAGAAACACATTTCGTCCATCTGCTGTACTCGTAGCGCTACAATAGCAACCATGCAGTGTAAAATTTGTCGTAGCAATATACGGCAACCTATAGCATGGGGCCATTAGAGCAGCATGACTTCCGCTAAAATCGTTCATACACTCTTAACTTGTTACTTCCAAACAGCAGTTGGACAAAGTTTTGGTTGACGTCATCTATCTGGATTTCTCTAAATCCTTTAACCACTTAGATCAGGGATGTCCAAAGTCCGGCCCGCGTTAACATTTTAACTAACACCCGGCCTCACTATGAAATACTAAATTCAGACTTGGACCTTTTTCCTACATGTGTAATTGTTGTTATTATCGCAATGTCAGACTGAATATGACCCGATATATTTTTTAGCTCAAAAAGGGTGGCTCTCCGTGTAAATGTTTGGACACCCCTGGCTTAGTCTATCGGATTATCTTTCATACACTTGGCAAAAATACCATCGGTGAATCAATCCTCTCTTGGATATGCATTTTTACATGGAGCATGGTTGAAAGTAGAAGTGTAAGTATCCCTGTCAGACGGAACTGAGATGCAGTGCGGTGAACGACAGCTCTCATTGGTTTCATTGGTTTCTTTGTTTTTCATGAATGAGATCAAATGCTTCAGACCTCTTATAATTCGCAGTTTAAATACAAATAGGGCGAAAGATCAGAGAGCTGGATGAGATAGAAAGGCATAATCGAGATATTAACGCGAGTTCAAACTAACCAGTTCACAATTTTCTACCATCCAACGTAAAAAATGTAGCGTTGCTTAACTACTACATTAGTGTGACTACATGTAATGACTTAAACACCCAAATTGAAAACCACTTCCCATTGACTGGACCATAGCGTGCTTGTTAATAATGACCTCAACTGCCCAAGGCTGTTGAGGCAGTTGCAACAAGATGCAGCCGGCGCGTTGACCTACTTCTGGTTTCATTCCGGACTTTCGACTCCTCAGCCCTCCAAATGTTGCACTAACTAGCGTGCGCCCTCACTATTAAAGTGTGACGTCGAAGTGCTAGTGAGACCACAAAACAGGACAACAAAGAACGTCAAGATCCCACTCAATTACCATTACCAGCAATGATTGAATTTACAGGCAATTTGATCGAACGTCACTCTTAGCTCCCAGCACTTTGTTAAATAAGGTGCGTCTGATCACACACGCGCACCGGATTTCTGTGTCAAACGTTCCCAAGGAAGTGGTACATGATTGAGCCACGTTAAAGCTATTCTTTTCAACCATTCATCAATTATCACAGTACTTCATGTTGCTTCATCCTTTAAACTCCAATTGCTCACTAGCGCATTTAACTAGATTTAACTGTATAAACGCGTATACAGACGAATCACATGACTTTGGATTTTGCATACCGCAGCTCAACCATCCTGCAGGGCTTGTCCAACACCCCCGTTTTGACCTGGATATAGCACTGTTTAATCAAATTGCATGGTGCAGGGTTCAGGAATTGCAAATTTTTCACTTTTGTATTTGCAAAAAGTTTACAAAGGTAATGGTGTCAAGACCGTGGTCAACCCTCATTGTGGTCATTGAATTAAAGTTTGGCCTGCTGTTATCATTCTAAATAGCATATAAAATAATGCCAAACCAGAGATGTAAGTAAAGATGTTACCGTATTATATGTGATATATATTTTCAATATCACCTTTTACATGCTTACCTTATTAGATCCAAGGCGAAATTTCGCACGCTTATCCACTATATTGCAAGTATAACATAATTAGCACTAGGTATTACGGTTAAAATTGTATAAAATTCATACTAATAAAGTTTATAAAACGCTACACACTTTAGTTATACTATTTCATATCTTTTGTGTTAACCAACATCCCCTAAATTATCTGATGTAGGTTCATACAATAGGTTGAAATTCTGTAGGTTGGTGAGGAAGCAGCAAACAATGATTTCATTTCCCGACATAATAGGCGATAATTTAAACTCTTCACCTCAATAGATGTGCATTTAATTATGACGCAAAGTGCTTTAAAAACCGGTATTTTGTGAGTAAATTTTAGTTTAATCCCTTCGGAAAATAACGGTCATTACAGGAGTAGCATTTGTAGGTGCATTCTTGCTGATTTGACGTCACAACAACGCGAAGCTAAGTGGACAACACGAACTGCTGTTAAATAGAGCAAACATATTTGAAAAACCTTCCAGTTTACATGTATATAATATACTCGTTATGGACAGCCGTTGCCTCATACTGAGGTTGATGTTGTATACATTATTCTTCTTCACCGCAGTTGGCCTAAACCGACTTAGGGTTAAACAAGATAATTTTACTTTTAAGAAAAGTTATTTTATTTTATTAGATTTGTTCCGTTCTGATCTTTTATTGCATCTGCTGTGTAAATTTTGCTTGTATTCTTTCCCTCAAACGCCAAGTTGGTTGTTTGATAAACCCGGGGTGGACATGTTTGATGTGTATGTTGACAAGTTATCTACTACCATAACCTCCATATCAATTACTGGTTCCAGGAGACTGTTAATCGTTGCTTGGTTTGAGGGACGGGGTGCAAGGTCCTCTTGGACGGGCTAGACTCAAATAGTGGTTCTAACCAGTGTGGAGCGGACTAAGGCACTGCTACTCACATGTGTGCTTAAGGTACGCGTGATGCCCTACGTATGTAGACAGGAACGCTGCTGCTGCTGCTGCACATTTTGTGGGAGTGCGGGCCAGCTCCATTGTTGAAACTTGGCTCCAATCTGTATGCGTCCTCGTCATATTCCTTCGAGTTCACACTGGATATGAGGTGTGTGGATCGAGCTCTGGGCGGTGCAGCGCAAGCCAGCCATAGTACCCCTTTCGGTGCAGGTGGTCTGTGGCTGTCAACATGGAGACCGCCTTTGTATTCAAAGCCGAAACCGGATGCCGCCAGCTATATGCATCTTTGTATTTTGCCTTGGTAAAAGAATGACAAACATGTTTGGAGCGGAATAAAGAAGAAAATAGTAAATATTTTTTTTAAATTTTGACTATGTATCTGCGACACGCTTACAAACACATAACGGAATCAGAGGCCAGATTTCCGCCAATCCATTAGCACATGGTGCAGGCAATTTAGAGTAAGTGTCATGGGCTGAATGAATCATATTTCATTCGAGCACAGTAGGTTCGGTTTTTGCTAATCAAGTCCACTGCTGTCCCTCAGCATTCTCTTTTGAACAGTTCTTCGTATTACACCTGCAACCAGTCGAAATTTTCTATAACGAAATGTAGAGAACAAAATGGTTAAAAGTAGACCCAGTTAAAATAACAGTCAAAAATAGAGACATTTCGGTTGACTAAACAAAAAATCCAAATGTCTAATGAAAGAAAGCTCAGAAGACCACTTTGAAAAAAATATACAGTGCAACGTGTTAGAAGGCCATGGACTAGTTGTTAAAAGGTTGAAAATAAGATAAAAGGAGCGCTCAAAAACGAGTGCAAAATGCGGGCAGATATTAGTAACAATAATTGAACTTACGGTGTATAAAGTAAATAAAAACAAGCAGCAAACTGAAGGCGCATAAAATTATAAGCGAATAAGGAGAAAGAGGAATATTTAGATAAACACATAATTATGTTTGGAACTAGATTAACATAAAAGCAAAAAGTGCACAAATACGATCCAGGCTTGTATAGGAATTACATGATAAAAAAGTAAAAAGAGTAGGACGAAATAAAGCTTCGTGAAAAAGAAAAGAAAATAGTTAAAGTAAGAAGGGAAATAAGGCAATGATTAAATGGAATATACGAAATTTGTTAAAAGATGAAATAAAAGCGGGGCTAAAAAACTAAATGCACTTGCCAAAGCAAAATGCGACGAATGCGAATTTTGCACGCAAACAGTTGAAAACAATAGTTGGGATATTAGTGAAGATTTCAAGCAATCTTGCAAACATTATAACCTTATTAAATGATCGACAAAATGATGACAGGATATGAACGCAATAAGCCAGAACAAAACACGGAAATTTGCGAAAATAGGATGCAAATAACCACACAATCACGAAGAAAACATCAAAAGTTACATTGAGCCTAAACGAAGATGAACAAGTAATGTTACCTTAATTGTAGCTTGCTCACAAGCAATACATGTCGGTTTCAAAGTGCTGTCTTCTGCCATTTTCTGGTCCTCTTTAACAGGTACTTTTGAGTCAATGTCTTCATCCGAATGTCTGTCAGCACAATCGAGATTCTGCGGCTGTGGGTGCTTTCCTTCTTCCCAGCTGTCTTCACTAAAGCCAGTTGGATGTCTCGACTTATTTAATATGCAGCCGGCCAACATTTTCTGTAATGGGGTGGGAAAAAATCGATAAATATGGACGCCGTTTGAGTGAAAGCGTGGAAATAAAATGGTTAGATTCTGTTGAGTAGCAGCACCAATATTCCCTACTTAAATACTCAGCAGGTTGGCCTGACCACTGCTAGTCAGACATTTGCTTGTCAGGTTAGGCGTTTGTTGTGATGAAAATAGTGGTAAAAATATGGCACACACAATAAAACTGTTTGACTTAGATTGCCGTGTCGTATAATATTATGCGTCAACCAGTCAAATGCAATTTCATTAAAGGCGAATACCGTTGACTAAAGCATGGGCCATCGGAGTCTTTCTAACTGTACTACACCTTCAGCACAAACGGTCAATCGAATTGTTCCACGGGAATATATTTGCCAGGCGCATATTTTATTCTAAAACCAGCTGCTCTGGAAACGAATGAATCACATGTCACGGAACCCGTGTACATAAAACATACTTTCCACCGTGATTGAGGTCAATGCGCTATTAATCCCAACTTGAGAGCAAATGATAACCCGTTTTGCATGATTAGAGCATTGCGATATCGGTGTTTAGATTGCAACATCTCGTAAACAGTACAGCACAACACAATGAGTGCATCCGTAAAAGTACTTAGGCAACCGTTCCTTCAGAGCGAGGTTTGAGTTTGCGGTGAGAGCGAGGTTTTGTATGTCGCGTTGCAACTAATTTACCCAAATGAGCAACCTCATTATACCATTGTGCCCTGGTTATCATAGCGTATATGCAGTCAAGCGCACTGCTGCCTCAGTAATTGGCATGTGCCGCTTCTTCTACGAAGACCCGATTGCAATAACTTTCGAAAATCAATATGTTGAATTCCAAGAAACTAGTTTCCTCTCAATAAAAACGTTAATGTGCACACTTCCACCAGAAGGTCTACTTACCATTAGCAATTAATAGGGCACGACTGCTTGAAGCCACTCACACATGAACTAGGCGGAAAAATTACCTCACGCATTGTTTGCAAGTACAACTTCTGCAAACCTGGACTGTATCTTGTTCCTCTGTTGTTCATGGAGAAAACCCAACCTCCAGATCTAGCGTACACATTAAGATAGGTTTACACCATTGAGCGTCAGCAGCCTTCAGAAAACTACTGGAAGATGGAATTGGACGGTGTTGCTCGAGTCGCTAATCGTTTCAGTTGGTTGCGGCTGCAAGACTCATGTGTTGGAGCTTGTTTCCCTGTTATGCTAAGGTTTAATATGAATGTGCACATGATTTGCGTGTCTGTAAGCAAGCAAAGCAAAATTGTTCTGACAAACAGTGCGTTGAGTTGCCTCGACGGCGACGCAAATTGTAAAAATTGCCTCCCTTATTTCTAGCAAAGATTACAGGGTGTACAAAACTCAGGAGTAGCTATAAACGGCATTAAGGCACGGAAGGTTGACATCACCGTATAGATGGCCTTACAGAGAATACCTTCATGTTGATATGAACATCATAGCACTAACGATGCAATTCTTCACTTATTTAGTTCACCTGCCGTTCTGTTCCGTTAGATTTGCGTGATAATATTGAACCTTCATCCATAGTGCTGTGTTTGAGAATGTAGCTCAAAACGTCAGTTTAATGGATTGCCTGTGGAAAACAATGTTCCAGATATTCTCTACATTGCCACAAATTTTGCACGCTTGGATCATTACGTTCAATATTTCTAGGTAATGACCCTCTTGGATTTCAAGCATGGAAACAAAGGAATGTGGGTCATGTCTCCATTTGGCCATAATGTTTCTGCTGATCATTGTTGTATGTTTGCTCCCAGTTTGTCATCCTTCTAACAGTTAATTTTGTATACGACATCATTCAATCTGCAAGGTTCTACTACTTATTTAGGTCATGAGAACAATCAGCTTAAAGTACTATTTGGTTTGTGAGCCATCACTATTCTTTATGATTGTAGCAATCCCGCTGTCAGTTCAGACACATACCTGATGTAATTATGCAATACTTTCTTTATCTACCTGCTCTCTACTTTGTAGTCGTTTTCTACCGAGTATTACACTCCGCAGAAAATTTTCTATTTAACCATATTTTGTGAGTTTAGCACTGATTTTTCCTTCCTTCTTCCTAAATTCCCCTTGCGCAAGGTGTTTCTGCATTTCTGCAAATCTTTCGATGCAACATCTCTTGTGTTTAATAAATGGCTTCTCTAGCTTTTTAATATTTTCCTTGTATATATTATCCAATATATATATTTTGAAGTTTTCCGCCGGTGTTTTGATGGACGAGTCCATCCAAGAATTATACTTTTTTCTTCTTCTCCAGTTCGATGGTAAACTTGATATCTTCGAATGTGCTGTTGATTAATTCATGAGTTTGCGCATAATGGAAAAATGGAACACTGGTACCATAGCGATAAAAATATCAACGCTTGACAAGTCCCGTGGGATGGTTTGTGAGAATAAAATTATTGCGGTGTACTTACCCAAAGTTGAAAAACACATCTATGGACTCACCATATTAACCACGTTAACACATGTTCTTCCGTCTACCCCGAATTGTTGGGGTTTATGTGCACCAGCATGGGCTGCGTCTTTTTTCATAATGAATAAAAACCAGATCAAGTAGTCTAAATAACGTAAAGCAGAATCCCTTACGATAATAGCTACGTGTGATCCAGGAAACGGATCCACAACTTCAGTTTGCTCAAATGCGCAGTAATGTTCTTCAATTTATGCAGGAATCATTCCTCTAAATACTGACGGTAGTGATCCCATAGCCATTACATACAACAGCTTACACATTTGCCTATGAGAGTAAAAATAAGTGGTCATGCAGAGATCCAGATTTTCTATACTTCCTCCGGCTTGAAATTTCCTATTGCGTTCGTTAGCTTTCGAAGCTACATTTCAAGTGAGACCCCAACATAGGAGAATCCAGGGAATGTTAAACCTAGTAAACCATCGTTGATCCCAGAGTGAATTTTATAGATGGATGTGTAAGGAGCCAAGACTACAAGCACGGTGCACCATACGGTCAAACAAACAATGCCAACGTTTCCGGCAATTGCAATTCCCGTTTGCTGGCCAGGTGAAATAAAGTAAAATAGTCAGAACAAAAGACTAGTTACGCCGGAACAATGCACGTAAAATCGTCTAATGTTTAACGTAATACTCGTTGTTTGAACTACCCCAGCCTTCCAGTCAGGCTTGACCTTGGCACGTGTTTTTTACTAACAATCGAATAAACCAATCGCTTTCGGCATTTAGATCGTTTTACCTTTTTATGGTGCAGTTGGTCTTGCGCCGGTGAACACTCCGCCAGTCTTAGGTTTTATTAACCATGGTTTGGTAATGCAATTTATCCCATTCACGACTTGCAGTTTTGCTGCTTGGAGCCACAAACCTGATGTTTCTTACATACATGTCGATTCTGCCTGCATACAAACTGTCGTGATACCAAGAAATCAGCCACCCTTCACTACGTGAACCCTCTGTGTTTACACTCGGCGTCGACGTTGACTGTTGCTAAGCTCGGATGCGAAACTAACTAACCGTTGCAGCCCACAGTGATTCAGGGAATATATGGTGATTTATTTCAGCGACGAAGCAGCTTAGCAGCTGACTGCTTTCCGACTGCCGCAGGATGCTCACTAGAAGACATATGGTCTGATGCAAGAACTCTTAATTCGGTTAAAATCCGTCGACTGTGTTTCTCTAATCCTTTTACGCCCGGCAAATTTTATTTAGAAAACATGCAGAAGTTCATTGCGAGCGTTATGGAATTGGCTACAAAAGCTTTTCCGGTCCCCTCACATGGTAAATAACATAACAGTATAAACCAATACTTCACCTTCTTGCCTGCATGAAGAACCACGTGTTTCGCCCCAAGTTCTGTCATAAAACTCCGCACTTGCTAACAAAAGCCCTCAACGTCGCTACCAGTTCCGTAAGGGTAAAGCAACTGCTTTCGCAACAATAATGCATTCTATTGCCTCCGCTTACCAAATTCACTCAAACAATTCACGATACCAGCCTCTATCAACGTCGTCCTAACTCGCCGAGAATCGGCGCTGGTAACAATGGCTCCTACTGCCGAATGATGGGTAACGGAGATCGGCTGGTTAGTCACCATCCTCCCTGCAATCCGAGGTGAAAAGACCCGAAAAGCCAGAGAGAGAGAGAAGTACATTTACGCTGGCGGATATAACCGGTGTAATAATCCCTGAAGTTGCGTTTTTACTGTGACAACCCATTCTGGCTTACATCTAGCATACGTTCTTCTTATTTCTGTGATGGGATGGAAGAAACGTGCTAGAATACTTGTTGATACCGGGGCCTTGTGTTCTCTAATCCGCAAAAATGTGTTTCCAACGAACGCCACGGTTTTCCGAGACAATTCTTTTGCGTTGGTGGCAGCCAACAACGCTTGCATCAAATTCTCAGGTGGGGCAACTGCGACGATTAAGCTCGAAGAGACTTTGACGACCCATCGGTCTTTTGTATTATACTATCTCCTCTGAGACGGGATGCTTGGAATAGGCTTTCCCGGTATAATGCTAAGGTTGATTTGGTCAACAAGTCCATAGATATCGACGACCACATAATACTGTTTGTTTCGGCAAACTGCCATGTGTTTAGCTGTAACACGGTAGAGCCCCCCGTTAGGCAGTTTATTAGAGGGAGTTCTGCAGTATTACTGACAATGAGCAGCAAGGAATTGGAAGACGGTTTATTCACATACCAACATGCATTTGCTTGCTGAGTGAACGACACTGAACAATGCAATATTGTACAAAACTGCAACGATACTGGCGATGGACTACCGACAAGACAACCAGCCAGACGTGTGCTGCTTCAGTTTCAGGAAGAGTTAAAATGCTTTAACGGACACCAGTTACAACGCAATATTATTCCAACGTCTAAAGCGTCCTAGGCGTTTCCCAATGTTCTTGTCAAAACGAAAAATGTAGAACTGCGGCTTTACTTCGATAATCGGTAGCTTCACTCGGTTACTTGGAAGGACCC